TGTGAAAGCAGAACGTTTTTAATTTAAATCTGTGCTCGAATATGGTACTTTAAAAAATTTTATATTATTATATATAGTTTATATTTGTTCTTGGCCAGCACATATTGGGAGTAAAAATAATTAACCTTTGATATCAATCTGGTGCAACGGTCAAATTGTATTCTTGAAATTTAGTATTTTTACCCGAGTTCCATTTTTTTTTTAAATCACAATTTAGCATTGAATAGTTCCTGAATCTGTCTATATATTCATCAACTCAGTTCTTTTATGTTGTTTGCTCCCAGGTGCTGCTGCCTGAGGAGCATCAAGCAACAATCAAGTGGCCCAGATTTATTTACTGTTGCGCGTCATTAGCGTAATAGTAAGTCTTATGGACTGTGTATTGCATGATTTATCTTGTTTTGAATTTATTTTTACTTAGCGAATTTGTTTGCAATTTAGTATTATTGTGATTAATATTAATTGATAACGTTATTAATGATTTGTATATATTGTTGAGCACATAAAGCTCTCTTCGGAGCAACTTTCCTGAACTTGTGCCGTATGAGCATATAGATCACTTTTTCTGTGACTGTTTAGTCTTTATTTTCTCAACTGAACATTTTTTTTCGTTTTAGTTTATGTACTTGATGTCTTGGCTAATTTGATGAAAAATTCTGATTTTAGTATATTTGCGCAGATCGTGATTTGTACAAAAACCGAGCTTAAACTCGTTGAGCTTGCTTCTTCACATAACCTTCAGAAAGGCCTCTTGGAGGTTTACATTCAAGACGGTTAATAAAAGGGGAATGGTTTTTCTTTCAAGAAATGATGGAATGCACTGTTAAAGCAAATAGCCATGAAAAGAGACCTTTGGAAAATCCGAGACCTTCGGATGTACAGAAAAAGCCTGCAGATAACAACTTGAACAATCCTGTATTTGTTAATCACGGTAAGTCTTGCCTTCTACTTTTCAAATAATGCCATATGAAGGCATCTAAAGTTTTCTTTAGGAGTTGGATAAAATGTTCGTGCATCGATTAAAGAAAAGGAGATCCATTTAGTTGTTTATATAGTTTTGTTGGGAGTGGCAATGAACTATTCTTGTTGTTCTTCCTAATTTTATACTACTAATTAAAATCATTCTGTGGTGCATTTATGGTTGAATGTACACAAATAAATCGAAAAAAAAGGTTTATTTTGATTCGTCTTTCCAGGGTACGTAAACTTTTAAATGATAAGAAAAATCAAGAAATGTGCGTGAATATGTGTGCATATATGCTTTGTAGCTGCAATTGCGTGGAATGAAAGCCGAAAAAAATGGATTGGGAATGTATCTCAGAGGTCAGGAAGAACATCAAAGGATCCAATTATAAGGTACTCTCAAGTAAACATTTTTTGTTCACTGTATATTGTAAATCATGAAATTTTTTTACTCTTTAGTTCAGTAAGTTGGATTTTCTAATTGAAGACAGATTTTTCGAGGAGGTGTTTGTAATTTAAAAGAAGAACTTTTTCACCGTCTTAACCTTGGTTTAATCACAAACGATATCTTAATGCTAACAGAAAATTTGTTGGTGGCAAATTTTTGGTTTTCACATAGGGCTATAAGTTTCTAAATTGATGATATTGTTATTTGCTCTTTGTAGCTGGTCCACCACATATGAAGACCTGCTCTCGACTCACGAGCCATTTTCCGAGCCTATTCCTTTATCTGTAAGTTATCTGGCTCGAGCCATGAGACAACATAAATGCATTTCACGGTAAAAATATGTTTGCATCAATGTGTTAATGGGGTTTTGCAGGAAATGGTCGATTTTTTGGTCGATATATGGCAAGATGAGGGGCTTTTCGATTGATAGGGTCGTAGTTTTGTTGGAGTGTTTTATTTTTGTGGTGATAAAAAATTGTTCTCCCACCACCATTGCACGGATCACGAAAACCGGGCGAAGGATTTTTCGTGCTCCCGATGATTTGTAAGAATCTCTCATTCACCATTATGTTGTTGTAAACTTGTAGTGTAAAACTTGTATGGATTATTTTAGTTGTACTTGTAATCTAAGGTTAGACTTCTTCAAGAATCGCAATAGTTGCTAGAAATAGGAAGTTCAGTGTATTTGAAAGTGTGGCATAATGCTCAATTCTTCTTTTTCCATGATTCCTGTGCATTAACACGAACGAGCTTTTGTTTGTGAACGTTCGGTTAGTTTACTAATTAGTGTACACAAATTACCTTCATTGCGTCATAGAAGACAACGAATCACTTGTACAATTTCAACTTCGAAATTTCATTGGATGGTAAAATCATAAAAGACGGTATAAATTAATTTAAATTTATTTTTGTTGGTGTCACAAAAATAAGTGCCCTGTTGTATAGTTGCGATTCAACCGAATGAGCCGAGTTTGTGCATTTATGATAGTGTTTGCGATTTTGAGCATTTATGATAATGTTCGAATAATGTTCGTATTTGTTCGTCTATTATTCGTACAAAATTCATGTTTGAGGTTTTTCGTTCATTTGTTTGCTAAAATTTAATTTGTTGGTGTTCGAGTAATTTAAAAAAATAATTTTATTATTTATTTGTTAAAAATATTGTATATATACAAATAAATTTATAAACAATAAAATATATATTAAAGTTCATAATTGTTATTGAATGTGCTTGTGTTCATTCGCTTAATATGAATCCAATTTCTTGTTTGAGTTCGGTCCGAGGATATCGATTGTTGGTGTGTGCTAGCAGGGATCCTGGCTGGAGAGTCCTCTTGAATGCTTAAGGCACGATGTTTTGCCGGGTTTAGACCTGCCCCAACGTTGATAGGTCCATATTTTATCTGCTCATGGGAGTGACCTAGAGGACTCTCAGTGGTGGCTACTGTTTTGTTCTGAGACGCGATCGATTGTTTCTCTGCCCGTGGTCCCTTTCCTACTCCGCGCATAATGTCAGCTTGCATGGGGTCCCCTACGGGCTTTGCCTGGGATTTGCTTCTTCGGGTCACCACTCGCCATTCCCTTTCCTCTTTATCACCCGAGCTCTTGTTGAATGATACCTTCTCTTTCCCAAGGATCTTCGTTGATGCAACACCGAATTCAAACACCTGACCCGAGTCGTTGGGTGCCTCATTCTCCAGTAGATCGAATCAGGAGCCCATTCCTATGTGCGAAGAAGGATGCTGCGAAGCATGTGTCTTGTCTGGTCCTTTATCACGCCGCGAGTACTGCTGCCGTGATCGTTGTGGGACTTGGATCCACGGCCCGTATAAAGGTTCCTCCACCCCGCCATTCTCCGTCGGTTGATCTCTCGCACTGCATTCTCCATTATTATTGGACTGTGTACTCTCGTTAGGATTGGCTCCCTTACTTCCAGCCTGCTCCTGGGTATTCGGTTGATGAGTACATGAGTTTCCCGAGTGTCCAATTCTTCCGCATTTAAAGCAAATAAGCGGAAGATTCTCGTAAACCACTTTCTGATGCCTTCCATTGATGGCGAAGCTCACACAGAGGGGTTTAGTCAGGTCGACCGTAACAGCAAGTCTGGCATATTTTCCCCGAGTTAAAGTTGCCGTTTGTTGATCGATTTTTACAACTTTACCGACGATTCGACAAATTTTTTTATGGTACAAGTGGGTCGGCATCCCAGGCGAACGGATCCAAGCTACTGTGGACGTAAGAGTCGCCTTCATTGCGTCAAAGTCAAGAGACCACGGCTGCACATGCATATAACTATTGCTCACGACATATGGTCCACCCGTTAGGACTTGCACCGTATCCTCATGATTCCAAAGGTGTATGACATAAAAGCCATTCTCGAGGTCCATCATGTTGCATCCCGACATGAAAGGCCACATCTTAGTAAGGCGGTTGTATAGCGAGGCCATGGTGAGTGAGTTGTCAAACGGCTTTATAACGACCGCGTGTTGCCATTCTTTGTTAATCTGTTCAAAAAACTTCTGGGTAATCTGTAAGTCAGGCAGGGGTCCAGACAAGTCCACAAAAACATCATCGTCCCCTTCATTCTCCAATACATCTTCGTCCACAGACATATCCACATGATTCTTGTGCTTGTTTACCATGTTCCGAGCATCCCTAAAAAAAAAAAAA